TTAGATCAGACCAGAGGTTGTTTCAGGGGTCAATCTGTGAGTTAGCCATGCCTTGACTTAGATCAGCCCAGAGGTTGTCTCAGTGTTCTATCTGTGAGTTAGCCACGCCCTGACTTTGATCAGCCCAGAGGTTGTTTCAGGGTTCTATCTGTGAGTTAGCCATGCCCTGACTTAGATCAGTCCAGAGGTTGTTTCAGGGTTCAATCTGTGAGTAAGCCATGCCCTGAATTAGATCAGTCCAGAGGTTGTTTCGGGGTTCTATCTGTGAGTTAGCCATGCTCTGACTTAGACCAGCCCAGAGGTTTTTTTTCGAGGTTCAATCTGTGAGTTAGCCATTCTCATGCCCTGACTTAAATCAGCCCAGAGGTTGTCTCAGGGTTCCATCTGTGCGTGCCCTGCAAGGGCGGATCCAGGGGGAGGGTCGAGGGGGTCGTGACCCCCCTGTCATTCCTGAGGTCAAATGGGCTTCTTGTGGTAAAAATGTGACTGGGATTCCTTTGCCCACAAAATTTACCCCTGAGACCCCCCTTCAAAAAACCCTGGATCTGCCCTTGCCCTGAATTAGTTAAGGTTTGATATGTGAGTAAAATAGGCCGGGCCTTGACTTAGATCAGCCCAGAGGCTCTAAAACTCTAACAAACGGATCAAAAACAGAAACAGACCATTGTACCAATGATGACCGGAAAATACGATCAGACAGAAGGTGAAGTTCACATCGATCGTGTTACAGTGCATGAAGCAAAAAAAAAAATGCTTATTAACTTCTTAAAAAAAGTCTCTACTTTCATTAAGCTTAAAAAATATGCAAACATTAGCAATGAATATTTTATACCAATGTTCAATGTAAGCTTATATTTGCAAATAATTTGATCAGCTGAATTTGTTTTAAGCCATCAAGTTCTCGTGACAGACGAATGACTGACTGGTCACGTATACGTTGAATATTGCACAACCTTGCTATTGAAATAACGACCTTAAGATCTCACTGTTAAGTATACATTCACAAATAATATTAAAACATTGATAAAGATATTTTCTATCTTTTCTAGCAAAGAAAATTTGTAAAAAAGTATGAGACTATTTCAAAGTGTTTTGTGAATGCATTAAACATACGCATATTAATCTGTAAAGTATACATCTATCTTTCTTACCCTTTACATCCATTAACCAAGACATTGGTAGAACAGCAACGACATAGGAAATGGGTCCCCAGTCAGCTAGTAAAGTAATAATAGTATTATCCCATCCAAAGACGACTTGTGAAGTGCCTTGAATCGGTCCCCAAGCGTTCCAAATCACATTATTCAGAGACGCGACGCATGAAAATATAAGAAGAATATACCAACGTCTTTTGTAGACTTTACACGTTCCTTGGTGGACGGATCCTATAGATTGATAAGGCCTGTTTTCAGATTTCAATAAAGTTTCTCGTTCATCGTAGGATCTTCCAATAGAAGCCATGTGAAGACAAGAGATCAAATGAATAAAGTTGGGTTTGTTTGCCTTTTGATTTTACATAGAAGAATACACACGATCTCAACGATTTTTATACCGTGAAATGTCCTTGAGTTGAAGATTAATACCTAGGAGTTTCGTGGCGATCGAGCGAAAATTCTTGGATTTATAAGCTGATTTTTCAGCTTTGAATAAAATTCAACGATGCCGATACCAATACAGGCCAGGTTGTGTGATCCACTACAGATGACGTCATTTAAGGCATTACTCTCATCATGTGACACACGTGACTGAAAAAACATGCGACAGTTTGATTGTCTGGTTCGGCATATTTTCATAACATTTCGCTGCCGTCAATCAAACCTAATCATTCGGTACCTTTTATGTTTTTGACTGGCGGCAGCAAAAAACAAATTCAAGCGCGTAACTCGGTTTATGAAAAGTGCAGTAATGTAATGCACGCTTTCGCTTTCATTATCTCTGTAGTCTACTACTTCAAAAAAGTTTTCTTTGCATTTGTTTTTTTCAAAAAAGAACTTCCTTTTCAGCTCAGAGAAATTGGTTGTTTGATCCAATACGGATGACGTCATTTGCATACTCTTATCATGTGACACATGTGACTGAATAAACAGTTGTCCCCCATGCGGCAGTTTGATTGTCTGGTTCGGCATATTTTCATAACATTTCGCTGCCATCAATCAAACCTAATCATTCGGTACCTTTTATATTTTTGACTGGCAGCAGCTCAGAGCAAAGTTTAATTCATTCGTCTTTCGTTTTCTTTCTTCAAGCTGTCTCTTCAGGCTTCCGCTTCCGCTTCTCTTCTCTTCTCTTCTCTTCTCTTCTCTTCTCTTCTCTTCTCTCGTTTCCTTTTTTCCACATTCTCCTTGTCTCTCGTCTCATCTGTCTTTTTTCTCCCTCTCTTTTTCCTTCCTTCCTTCCTTCCTTCCTTTATCCCTTTTTCTTTTTCATTACATCGTAGTCACAGTCACTTACGGGGTTCCTGTGCAATCATAGATCGCTATTCCCTGGAGCTAGCGCTGCTGTGATTAGCCCATAGACATCACGTGGTGGATAGTATTTCTCCATTTCAAATATCTTGTTGTACGTTGACTCTTCCCGCTCGAACAACGAAAAACACCAAAATATCCACCTCAAAAACACCTAAATATTCCATATTCTATGCTTCCTCCACCCCTGAGAAGCTATGGGAGATGACTTGGATCTTGGAAAATTAGCCTTAGAGGACAAACTCACTCATAAGGTATTTTTACTCCAAAGAATCGTCTCGAGGAAAGTCGAAGTTGGAGGCAAAGTGACAGCAGAAAAATCGAAAATTTGAATCTGAAAAAATATTTTTTTCTTGGTTTTTAGGTGTGGAAAGCCCGTGTTAGTGGTTATGAAGAATTAACGAAGACTTTTAAGCAAGCTACGAGCGAGAGTAGTGGAGAATTTTCGAAATATTTGGGCTTTTTCAAGAAAATTGTGATCGATAGTAACGCTGTTGCACAAGAAAAAGGTCTCGAAGCCGTACTTACTTTCGTGGAAAAAGCTTCTCCTTCGATAAGTGGAAGGTAAAACGCGAATCGTAATCTATGAATCCTCCTAATATTGTACATATGAATTATATTTTATAATATCAAAGGCTAACAGCCATCTTGGGTGGAATCCGAATGAATCCTGGTTCTAAATTTTCATCAAAAATGTGCTGAAATGATTCACGTCACTTCTATTTTATCAACTTTTTATTTAAAATGTTTACGATTTGTTTTCTTATTTTTAAGACTTCAAAAGAGTTAGATCATTTTGGTAATTTTTTAGCCTTTGAATATAGATTACTCTGGAATTTAATATTTATTGTACAATTTTATTTAAATATGTAAATGACAAACTTAAATTTAACTTAACTTATTTCATTTTTTTCTACGTATAATTCAATATTTAGTATTTAATTATTGTTCCTAAGATCATCTTTACTATCTGGTATTTTTTCTTGATTTTTTGGAAACCACAATTTTGCATTTTAAAAAAATATATTGTGCATCCTCCCAGACTAATTAATTATTGCATTGTCTGGTTTGTATTGTCAGATTTGATAAATGAACAAATTAAGTATTTTATATAAATTCTATTTTGATTGATTTGCAGGTTTTAGTCTGTTCCTTTAGTAAATGTATTTTATTTTTATTAGGTGTACAGTATGAGAATATATATATATATAGACTATATATTTGTACTGTAGTTATAATGTATCCATATAGAGCTGATCTACGCAGTATATCAAACAACTTACGAAATCCGTTCAAGACTCAAAAATATTTTCTGAGTCTTATAATTAGCAACTGCATAAGTTGCTTGATATACTGCGCAGATCTGCTCAATTAGATACATTTTTGATAGGTTGTTTTGTTACGTGGTCTTATTACAGCCGATTTCTCATTACTTTACACTTTTGGGTTCCGAACTATGTTCGAAAATTCCTAAATTGGCGAGCAAATTAGGAAATTCAAAACGAAGTTCACGGTGAACTTCTGAACTTCCCTCCAAAATTTGGGAATTGGTTTAGTATATAGAATATATATGAAGTTACCAAATAAATAACCCAAAGGAAATCTAGAAGATAAACTTATAAACTCATATTTTACAACCACCACTCCCCATGTGAGGCTTTTCCGTGAGGTTCCCTCCACACGCACTATTGCTACATTCTATATTTACAACACTCAACTAACATGTTGCTTTTTACGGATTGAGGGAACCAGAGATCCTGGAGAAAACCCTGAAGAAAACCCTGGTTGAAAATCAACTTTTGTAAGCCAACCAAGATCTGAACTTTGGCGGGAAGTTCATACTAACCACCTACTGTATCATGATTGTAAATTGCATAAAAAAGCAATCTGAAATTCCCAACTCAATGTAAAGCGCCTTCGATTATATCCATATAGAAAGGGCGCTATGTAAATCATAAATCTTTATTAATCATTATTAAACCATTATTATTCTTTTTTCAGGGCGGCTGGTGATATAGTTAGTGGTTGTATACTAAAATGTTTTAACGCCAGGCCGAAAACCAAAGAGAAGGGAATAGATATAGTGTTAATGTACGTTGAAGTAGAGAAACAAGATATAGTTCAGGTAATGTAAATAGAGTGCATACTATATAGCAGTTTTCGTATGACTGCGAAAAGCTCAGTGTCGTAAGCGTGACGTGCCGTGACCGTGATGCTTTCTAGAATTTTAATTGGCTGATTTTTTCACACGCAATACGATTGGTCTGGCATTGCCGTGACCTTGGTGTAACCGTGTCCGCGCCATGTTTATGCCGTGTTTTGGGTATTTGATTGGATGGAGAGTAAATTCTCGTGCAATGTGATTGGTCTGTGTTCGTGCCGTGAATTTTTCACAGTCATACGAAAACTGCTCTATATCCGTGAAAAAGGTAACTAACAAAATTGTACAAATTAGTGCAAAGTTTTGTAGGTCTACGGTCTACTGAGGTCTACTGAACTTACTAATTTGTGCAATTCACCACTTCAGCACTAACCATCACGTGTTATAAATTGTATTGGATTGTGTTACAGTTACTAAAAGGTTCAGACATTGTTCTCTGATTTCAGTAAGAATGTACTGACTTGTCAGTACATTTGTATGGAAATTCAAGAACAATGGCTGCAATAATAATTTACACTGGCGATGTTTGCTGTGATTTTGCCGTGGGTTTTCTTGCCATTTTTGAAARTATGATAAATTTTGTCTTATCTGTTTATCTTTGAATTTTGTTTTATCCTTAGACACATATACTGTATCCAGGTAACTGTTCCTCCTTAAAAACTCCTAGGATTTAATTCACGCTTTCAAGAAGGGCACTTGAAAAGCTCTTGAATTTTACGATTTTAGCGAAACTCCTTGAAAACTCACTTGCTTTGATCGTTACTTGCATGGTTCTGAAATAGATCTAGTCAGAAAGATCGGAAAATCTGAAAGTCGGTCATGTGCAACCAACGTGTAAAACCTTGGGACAGTTAGGTCAACATACTCCTTGAAAATTCATTTTTGGGTCCTTGTATACTCCTTGAATAGCCCTTGAATTTTTAGTGGTTACCTCAGCATGAACCCTGAAAATTGCCACAAAAATCGCAGCAACGATCACCAAAAAAATTGTCAGCCAGATCAATCATGATCTGTAATGGGAAAACATTAGGCCCCAAAAATCAAAAAGTGTATTGCTTTGTGTACAGTATTTTCCTTTCAATCAATCTCATTTTTTGTTACCAACCTTGGATTTTCACAGGAYGAACTTCTTAAAGGATTAGAAAACAAGCAACCTAAAATAGTTGCAGCTTGTACTTATGTTCTTAGACAGATTATAAGGTAAGATAAAAAAGATAAGAAGTACATCATCTATTAGATAATCAAACAATCCAGCTAAGCGGTGAACATACATAGTCATTTTATGCTTTTCTTGAGATTTTTTAAAATAGACCCGTTTCGAATTCCAAATTACCGCTGTGTTTCTTGATTACAGACTCATTTGCACAGGGTTAGCCTCGACTTTGTGTTGAATATTCACGTGTTCCAGTCAAGGTCCGTCGAGTTTCAAAGTGTTTGTATTGTTGAAGTTGTGCATTGTTTACTTTTCTGTTGGTATTTGTGAATATTTAAACACTGATACGAGGCTAATCCTGAGTAAATGAGTCTGTAATCAAGGAACACAGCGGTAATTTGGAACTTGAAAATGGTCTATTGTGACAATGAATCTAAGGTAGATTTCAAAGGTTGGAATGTCTAACACTTGGACTACTAAAATGTCATAATGTCTCCAAGAGAATGTCTCTGAAAAATTCAACCTACTTGCTGTGAAATGAAAGGAAGAAACTTTGGAAATTTGAAGGCCTTGGCATAGGGAATTTGCAGAAATTTTGCTCCACCAGTGCTTGGAAGAGCTTCGACAACGATGTCATCAAATGATGTAAACAATTTTGCTCCACCAGTGCTTGGAAGAGCTTCGACAACAATGTCATCAAATGATGTAAACAATTTTGCTCCACCNAAACAATTTTGCTCCACCAGTGCTTGGAAGAGCTTCGACAACAATGTCATCAAATGATGTAAACAATTTTGCTCCACCAGTGCTTGGAAGAGCTTTGACAACGATGTCATCAAATGATGTAAACAATAATATATATAGGGGCACAGTGCATCGTAGTTGACTAGGATTCTTTAATGCATGTTTGGTAAATGGCAGTTGTATCATATATGTAATATTTCATTCTGATTGTACTTTTTCAGTGAATTTGGTGGAAAGATATTTTTACTTAAACCTATAGTTAAAACCATACCTAARCTATTGGACCACAGCGACAAGACAGTAAGAGAAGAGGTAGGAAATATCCACGTCATTTCTTAATGTTTTAAATATGAAGGCTTCTGTCTTAATAGCCCACTTCCGAGATATGCTTTGCTTGTCACGAACAAAGGTTTCAGTATGGGGCTACGTGCTAAATTAAATTAATTCTTAGCGCCTGTCACGAATGACTGACCAAGGTGTGTGACAAGCGAAGCATACACTGTATCTCGGAGGTGGGCTATTCTAGGTTTTTTCTGCAGGTTATTCAGTTTTGCTTTCTCTGCAAAACCTATCAAGCTAAATTTTTAATATGATCTGTGGGTTAGCCATGCCCTGACATAGATCAGCCAAGAGGTTGTTTCAGTGATCAGTCTGTGAGTTAGCCATACCCTGACTTAGATCAGCCAAGAGGTTGTTTCAGTGATCAGTCTGTG